TATATCTGACTTTAAATACCAGCAAATAGCACCAACAAGAACAACTTCCAAGAAGTCAATATGTTCCTTACTACATCTGGTAACAATAAGAATGCATTGAAAATATTACCATTTTCTCTTGAAATTTAAATTCATGTTGTGATTTGAGGGTTGTGTTTAAAGGTTTAAAAACTGTTTGACTTACCTAATTTTTTATCCTTGCTTTCTTGATATTTTGTTATTTTAGTTAAAACTCAATCTGGATAATCATCTATTGTTAAGAATTATACCACTTTCAGAGTGAATAATGGATACCAAAATATACTTGGGTTGGGGGAGGAAGAAGTTCTAATGTTCCTATAGCACAGTTGGGTTAATATAGTTTACAACAATTAAATGCACATTTCAAAATAACTAGGAGAGAAGAGTTTGGAAGTTCCTAATGCACAGAAGTGATAATATTTGAGGATATGAAACTTCTGTTTACCCTGATTTGATCATTACACATCATATACATGTACTCAATTATAACATTTTATCCTATATCAAAGTACAAATATTATGTCAATTAAAATACAACCATATACAACTCTAGACAAAATACTTTATTATTGTTATTCAAAGTTTAAACAGTACTGAAATATGGAAGTAGTAGATGTGCAGAAAATTGAGGTAACTGACACTCTCCTTGGCTACTGGAATTTATCCAGGGCTTTCTTTACCCTCTGTGCTTTTGGTGGTGGTGCTTTTAAATAATTAGCTCTGAAGATCCTCAAGCAAAAGATTCATCAGGATGTAGGCTCCCTATTTACCTCTCTTATTGTTTCTTTTGCTGAGAAAAAACTTCTTAGTTTGAGTAAGTCCCATTTGTTGATTCTAGTTATTAACTTTTGTGCTATGGGTGTCCTATTGAGGAATTTGGAGCCCGACCCCACCGACTGTAGATCGTAGCCAACTTTTTCTTCTATCAGACGGCGCGTCTCTGATTTGATATCAAGTTCCTTGATCCATTTTGAATTCACTTTTGTGCATGGCGAGAGAAAGGGATTCAGTTTCATTTTGTTGCATATGGATTTCCAGTTTTCCCAGCACCATTTGTTGAAGATGCTATCCTTCCTCCATTGCATGCTTTTAGCCCCTTTATCAAATATAAGATAGTTGTAGTTTTGTGGATTGGTTTCTGTGTCCTCTATTCTGTACCATTGGTCCACACGCCTGTTTTGGTACCAGTACCATGCTGTTTTTGTTACTATTGCTCTGTAGTATAGTTTGAAGTCTGGTATCGCTATACCGCCTGATTCACACTTCTTGCTTAGCATTGTTTTTGCTATTCTGGGTCTTTTATTTTTCCATATGAATTTCATGATTGCTTTCTCTATTTCTACAAGAAATGCCATTGGGATTTTGATTGGCATTGCATTAAACCTATAGAGAACTTTTGGTAATATCGCCATTTTGATGATGTTAGTTCTGCCTATCCATGAACAGGGTATATTTTTCCATCTTCTAAGATCTTCTTCTATTTCTCTCTTTAGGGTTCTGTAGTTTTCATTGTATAAGTCTTTCACCTCTTTTGTTAGGTTGATTCCCTGGGAACAAATCTTTACTCCTCACACTTCAGATAGAGCCCTAATATCCAGAGTATACAAAGAACTCAAAAAATTAGACAATAAGAGAACAAACAACCCAATCAACAAATGGGCCAAGGACCTGAACAGACACTTCACAGAGGAGGACATACAGTCAATCAACAAGTACATGAAAAAATGCTCAACATCTCTAGCTGTCAGAGAAATGCAAATCAAAACCACCCTAAGATACCATCTCACTCCAGTAAGATTGGCAGCCATTAGGAAGTCAAACAACAACAAGTGCTGGCGAGGATGTGGGGAAAAGGGTACACTTGTACATTGCTGGTGGGACTGCAGATTGGTGCAGCCAATTTGGAAAGCAGTATGGAGATTTCTTGGAAAGCTGGGAATGGAGCCACCATTTGACCCAGCTATTCCCCTTCTTGTTCTATTCCCTAAAGACCTAAAAAGAGCATGCTACAGGGACACTGCTACATCGATGTTCATAGCAGCACAGTTCACAATAGCAAGACTGTGGAACCAACCTAGATGCCCTTCAATAGACGAATGGATAAAAAAAATGTGGCATTTATACACAATGGAGTATTACTCTGCATTAAAAAATGACAAAATCATAGAATTTACAGGGAAATGGATGGCATTAGAGCAGATTATGCTAAGTGAAGCTAGCCAATCCCTAAAAAACAAATGCCAAATGTCTTCTTTGATATAAGGAAAGTAACTAAGAACAGAGTAGGGACGAAGAACAGGAGAAGAAGATTAACATTTAACAGGGATGAGAGGTGGGAGGGAAAGGGAGAGAGAAGGTAAATTGCACGGTAATGGAAGGAGACCCTCAGGGTTATACAGTGGAGGGGGTAGAGAGAGAGGAGGGGAGGGGAGGGGAGAGGTGGGGAGGGGGGAGGGTGGATGATGGGAAAGGCAGCGGAGCACAACAGACACTAGTATGGCAATTTGTAAATCAATGGATGTGTAACTGATGTGAATCTGCAATCTGTGTATGGGGTGAAGGTGGGAGTTCATAACCCACTAGAATCAAAGTGTGGAATATGATATGTCAAGAAATTTGTAATGTTTTGAACAACCCACAATAAAAAATTAAAAAAAAAAAAGATTCATCAGGAAACTCTTATAGTCAGCCAGTTATGGATCAGCCTTTGGGAATTGTTCCCCTTACACACATACACAAACTCTCTGTTCATAATTTGGCTGAAGTACAAGGAATTCCATCTTCCCACCTTGATACATATTTTGCCTTTCCTATGTTAAAGAACATTTTTTCTTTATTATATTGACAAAACAAACCTTTCCAGGTAGTATTTGTGGAAATTTTGAAGGGCAGTTTAGCATCATCATCATCATCACCACCACCACCACCATAAAATAAGTTTTACTGTTAAAGCAATAATTCCACTCTTACTGATCTATCAAAAGTCTTTAAGGAATAAACAAAAATATATTTGTAAGAAAAATTATTGTGACCATGTTGCTAGTGTTACCACTGGAAACAAACTAAATTTTATCACTAGACACTTGGTTAAATTTTATCTGTACAATGGAATGCTATATAGCCATGTAAAGGAAAAATAAGAAAACTTCATAGGAATATTGCCAAGATATGTTATAAAGTGGCAAAAAACTAAATGGCAAAACAGTGTTATTTGGTGCTATATATACATTTTATATGGGCAATGTAGGATTTATATTAAATATAAATTTAATGAGTATGAGGTGAGGTTTGTATTACAGTTAAATGAAATAAGGTATATGATAATGATTAGTATCATGCTTCCCTAATGCATAGAAAAAATATATTTTGCCAAGTTGAAGAAGGAAAAATAAGGGTATTTTTACTTATTTTACATGTTTTATATTGTCTAGATTTTTTTTCTACAAAAAACATATGTTTTATAATTAGAAAACCATTTGCTTTTGGAAGAACAGCTGGAAAAATGTATTCATGCCAAAGTATCAATTAACACCACAAAATGATATTTTTCTTTTAATTCAGGATACTGAAAAATTTCTAATAATGAACACAATGGTTAACTCAGGTAGTCTTTTTAACAAAGGGGATCGTCCTAATGTCCATAAAAGCAGTTTTGGAGATTTGGTTTATTTGTTCTCACCTTTACATATTCACCCATACTTTTAACTGTATCTCTTCATATTCTGAGTGTGTGTGTGTGTGTGTGTGTGTGTACACTCACGTGCGTGCATACGTGCACTTATATAGGGAAATATATATGCATATCATTTAAGCATTTAGATGGTTTTCTTTCAAGAATGGCTGGAAACTTTAAGGAGGCAAGGCAAAGAATAACTGGAATTAATTATTGCTTAATTATCTAGACAAAGTGAAACTTCCCTTTCCCCCCTTCCTTTCCCTTTTTCTCTCTTCATCCTAATCTTAGCAGATAGTTTAAAAAAGATATTCCAGTGACAATACCCCATTAAATACTAAATATTTATCTCTTTAGACTGCTTATTAGAAGGACACCAGAGAAAAATCTTTGCTTATACTAGATTATTTGTTTTAGCAAAATTTATTCTCAACTATTTCTCATGGATTCTATAAAGTATAGCAGTATTTCAGAGTAATTATATATCTTTATAATGCAGGTGTTAGATTTCATTTTAAGTTCCTTAAAATTGAGGAAATGGTGCCCATTTGAAAACTTGTGAATGTCAATTTTTTTATAATTACAGACTTAGAAACATTACTTAAATTCGTTGATTGCATGGAAATTTGATTCTTTCTAAAATCAGTATGAGATTAATATGAAATACATGGGCTAATTGACAACTTGACAGTACTTTCTTGTGGTAAATTTGAAGCTGTGCTGCAATTTTATTCAGGAAGATGGCTTTTTTTAAAGTTGTAATGCTTTAATGATTTGAATCCCTAATTGTACATAAGCAGTATTGTATGCAATAAGCTCATTATGGTTTGAGAGAATGTTTGTTTAATATAATTTAAAAGCATAAGATATGGAATCAGATTTTTGGGCTTCAAATTCTGGCTTTGTGACTTCCTAGCTTTCTGATCTTGAACAAGTTATCCTCTTTTTTCTTGGTTTTGGCATCCATAAAATAGATATAAGTAGTACGTGGTAGAACTCTGTTTCATAGGGTTGTTATAAAGTTGTAAGAATTAAATGAATTAAGATTTATAAATAATTTGTATGTATAGTTGGTGTTAAGTAAGTATAGCTGCTGCTATTTACCATTTTGGTTATCTAGTATAGTAAGTGCTATAGGTGTGTGTGTTGTAAAATTAGTTGTTTGTGCATTGTGGTCCAAAAGAAAGCATTAGTGAGTTACAGACAGCCTAAAAATATAATTAGTAATTTCTACTTTTCTGAGGTGTGAAAATGATTTTTATAATACTAGTAAGTTTTGATTATTCATTTCTTGTTTGTATTACAGTTACAAATTATAATACTGTGGTAGAAACAAATTCAGATTCAGATGATGAAGACAAACTCCATATTGTGGAAGAAGAAAGTGTTACAGATGCAGCCGATTGTGAAGGTGGTGTGCCAGAAGATGACCTGCCAGCAGACCAGACAGTGTTACCAGGGAACAGTGAAAGAGAAGGGAGTGCTAAGAGCTGCTGGGAAGAGGATGGTGAGCTCAACTTTGTACAGTATTCTGTTAGCCTGTATTCTACTTTATTTTTAAAAGTATATATTAACCAAAAGATAAATTGGATAAAAAGGTTCAAATGAACAGAAAACTTCCTTGTATATCAAACAATATTGGGTGTTTTGCTTACTTAAAAGGAGATTATAAAACAGAATAGTAAAGTTGTCTTGACCATATTTACAATGACACAATATATTGAATTTAGTAAATTTTTCTAACTATAATCAAGCTTGTTGATATAATTGAACCTACCTTTAATTTCACATTGTGACCTCCCCCATGAAGAATATACATAGAAACATTAGTTTATTTGGTATAGTAAAAATTATATAAGATATACAAAAAATCCCAGACAGATAAATCATGGAAGCATTTTTAGCATTTGTAAGCCTTTCTACATACACAAATGTTAGAATCCTATAAGCAATTTGGGTCATTTACTTGGTTTAATTTTTTCACTAAAGGAAAATTTTTACTTAGGTAAAGCATGGTTTAATGAAAGGAGAAATGAAAGTAAGGAGACCCTCTACTTATTGCCTTTTTAAACACTGAATGTTTAATCTTCTTCTTCATCTATCAAATGGAGAAATTGGACTTTAGTCTTTTATTAATCTAGCTCTAAGAGTCCTCATTTCTACTTTTCCTAATAATCTAGTTCAGTTATTTAGCCTGTATTGCCAAGATTTAAGCACTAGTATTATTTTTAAAAGGAGGTAGAAATTGTAGATATTGTGAATTAGAGATATTGAGAATCAGAAAAAAAGGGCATCATTAAAGTAAATTATAAGAGGTCAAATCCACGGTCAGTCAAAGAAGAAGCTGCCTAGTAAGAGTCAAGTTTAATGAGGTCATCTAGATAGGATATTAAAACTAAGCTAAAAAATCTAGGAAAAGAGGTCAATATGCAGGTCAGAGAATCTGGATAATGAAATAAAGAAGCTTAGAAAAAAGTCCAAATAGGAGGCACAGGGTAGCCGAAATTAAGACTTCTACACAGTATGGCAAATCTTACAACATCAAGGAGAAACACCTGAATCAGAAAGGGTAGCCCTAATGCATCTTAAAATCAGGAGCTGGCCTGCAATGGAGATGGACATTTTTAAATTCTGATCCCTAAAAAATACACTTGCCTAAGAAAAATGCTCAACTTAAATTTTGAAAACATTTTATAATAATTTTAATTTGGGGGTAATAAGAGCACTTGGCCACTGATCCACCTATTTTGTATTTTATTTAGACACAGGGTCTCCCTGAGTTGCTTAGCACCTAGCTTTTGCTGAGACTGGCTTTGAAGTCTCCATCCTCCTGCCTCAGCCTCCCAAGCCACTGGCATTACAGGAGTGTGCCACCTCACCAAGCCTGAGAAATTTTTGAGTGAAACAGTGCTGGTCTTGATTTCTAAAGACCTAAAAGAGGTTAATTAGACAAGAGGAGAAAGAACACAAGGTGCTTCAAGCAGCAGAAGCAACAAGCATGAAGTCACAGGGCTTCAGCAAGGAGTATTTGCGGAAAATGAAATCAGAAAAGTAAACAAGGGAAGGAATATGAAGTGCTTGTGTACTAAATCAAGAAATTTGAACTTTATCATGAAAGCTATAAAAAGAACAAAACTGATATGAAATTTAGAAGTAAGTCTAGAGCAATATGGTATTAAAAAAAACTTTCAGGGGGTAGTGAGCCTAAGGCCAGAGCGCACCTTCAATAAAGATGCGTTAGTATTTCAGGAAGAGGTAGCAGTTCCTGAACCAAAGCCAGGACTCCTGAAATGGAAATAGAAGGGAGATATTTTAAAAAAATGTAGGAGGTAGAGTTGGTTGATTCTATATGGAAGTTATTAAAGGGAAAAGATTGATTTAAGTCCTAGGTTTCTGGAAAGTAGAAACCAATGAAATCAATTTGCTTACTTAGTGTGATAGCCCGATAATGGTAGAGCAATTAGTCAGTTAAACTTCAATATTAAATTCAAAACATTTTGAGCAGGTGTTTCTTATATTTCCTATCTGTGGATCCAGATCTGTATACTTGATCCAAAGTCTTAATATGGAAGCTAGAAGAAAATTATCTGTCTGGAAAGAAAGAAATACAGAGAATGACATAGATTGAGGGATAAAGAAAGATGAAAAAAATCAGTGAAGAGGTTCTGTTTCTTAAAATATGTTGGGATAGATTTTTTGGAGTAACCCTCCCACTGAAAACAACTAATGATGCTATATTTTAAAGAATAAAAAATAAATAAATCCAAACAGTTTAAAGAGCTAAGTAGCTAATAGGACATTAATATGTAAAAAATCTAAGGGAAGATAGGAACCTACAGATGTAAGTAGAGCAGATCATAGAAGACTTTTTTTGTTTTTATCCTTGAACAGATTACTAAACTGGGATTATATAACATGTAGTTTTTTAAGTCTCTCTGAGGGGGAAAAAAAATAAAACTGAGACCGCTAATACCAGCTCTTCCCCTAGTATGCATGTTAGTTAATTTCCCATTTTTGTGACAAAATATCCGAGGCAAATCAATTTAAAGAATAAAAAAGATTTATCTCAGCTTACAGTTTCTGAGGTTTACTTCCTGGTTCCTTGGCTCCTTTGTTTCTGGGCCTGTGGCAAGGCAAAACATAACAGAGCGTGTAATGGAGCCAAGGTACTCATCTCCTGGCAGTCAGGAAGCAGAGACGGGAGGGACCAGGACCAAGATACCCTCTTCAAGGACATATCCCCAGTGATCTACCTCCTCCAACTAGGCCCCACCTCCTAAAGCTTTCACTACCTCTTCATATTGCTACCAGTTTGCCACATGAACTTTTGGGGGACATTTCAGATCTAAACTAAAGCAGGATGGATTATATCTTGAATATAAGGATGAACTAAAAGCAAACCATCTGCCATCCCTTCCATCTTCAAAAGTCAGCCAAATTGCCTTAGCTGGGTATTGGGAAGATAAAGATTGTCTCTGAGAAGTGGGAACCACAAGTTGTCTTGTACTGTTTTGAATGCCCAGTTCACATTGCTAAAAAACCTAATAAATCTCAAGCCATATTTGAAATTAAAGTGCAACTGTTGCAAATACTCATAGGCACTAAGCAGAAGCGAACATAAGTCTTTTGGAGAAATACATCTTTACCCTAGCACTACAGAGGTCTCCAAAATAATTTGGCAAGCAGATGGCAACATGAGTGAAAGATAACAAACAGGAGGAACTTCTCTATAAAAATTTTAATTACTAGAGTTGTTATGATTCAGATTATAAAATGAATGTTCTATTATGTTTAAAGAAAAAGACAACCTTGAAATTAGCTGCTGTAATACCATTTCATAATAAAACTAGATGAGAATAACCTAATGGAATTCATAAAACTGAAAACAGAGTAATAAGAATTCAAACTTCAGAGGATGAATTTTTATCAGCAAGTTAAACAGTTAAAGAAGTTAGAAATTGGAAAGTAGAAAAAAATCACAAAGTGAAATGTAGATAGTCATAGAAAAATATGAAAAACAGGTTAAGAGACATGAAAATCAATATATATTTTAATTCCAGGTGAATAGAGAATAGGGTAGCAGTAACACCTGAAGAAATAGTGGCTAAGTTTTTTTCAGAATGGTTGAAGTACACCAAACTAAAGAAGCCCCAAAATCTCAAAGGGGTAAATAGGAAAGTGATATGAACAAGATGGCAGAATAGAAGGTTCCATTCCTCATTCTTCCACAGAACATCAATTTTGGCAACTACTTACAGACAACAGTACCTCTTCACGGGGGAGCTTTTGAGTCTTGTTGAAAAAAATCCAGCACCTTGGAGCAGCAAAAAATATATCAGGAATGCATACCTTGAAGAGATTAAGAAGAGCAGTTTCACATTTACTTACATCACACCTCCCCAGAGGTGGCATAGCTCAGTTACAAAGAGGGGCCCATTGGCCAGAGATTTCTCCCTCAGGGAAAAATGAGATCAAAGTGAGTACTTGGTTAACCCAGAACACTGAGAGGATCAGCATGGTGAAGTTTGGTATAGCTAGAAACAGGGAGAAGGGGAAAGAGCACACACCAACCAGCATGCGTTGCTCAGCCAGCTCAGATCTTGCTAACCTGTTAGTGGACTCCACCAAGGGACCCACCTATGGACTTCACAGAAAAATTCACCTCTGAACATCCCCAACCAGCTGATGTTTGCCCCAGCACCCTGCATGCCTTTCATGGATTACACCACATGTATTTCTGTATTTGACCAGCTCTGAGCTCCCACAAACAAACAGGGATCTAAAAAGCAGGCATAGATCTTAGCAACCAGCTCAATTCTGCTGATTTTTGGAGAAGGCCCACAACCCTGACTCCATTCAGCCTTCATGAATGGGACTACAGCTCTTCGAGAGGGAATCAAAGAAAGTAACATTTTTTTTGTCTTTCCATCCCTTTAGGGCATTGCCTTATAGAAAATCAATGGCATACTTTCAGCACCAGATCTGGCTTTGCAGGATCAAAAAAAGACACACAATCTTAAGAGGGCATAGAAGAGTACAACTGGTGTAACCATAGAAAAGCTCTGAGAGACCCCCAACAATTTCTAGCCAGATTCCTTGGTTAAGGTCTTTGTTATGGTCTGAATGTTTATGTCCCCTCTAAAAAAATCATGTCAAAACTTAATCCTTAATGCAACAGTATTAAGAGGGGACTCTCTAGAAGATGATTAGATCATGAGGGCAGAGCTTTCATGAATGGGACTACAGCTCTTCGATAGGGAATCAAAGAAAGTAACATTTTTTTGTCTTTCCGTCCCTTTCATTATATGAGGGTATAACATTTATCCTCTCTGGAGGATGTAGCAAAAAGGTGCCACCTTGTAAGCAGAAACTGTGTCCTCACAAGATACTAAACTTGCTGGCATAAGTTCATAGAAGACTTTCCAAGCTCTAAAATTGAGAAATAAATTTCTTCCCTTTAAAAATATCCAGTCTCACTTGAAAACGTTATATCAAATGAAATAAGCA